TATCTGGTAATCGATCATCATTTTTGGTACCTGGGCATGTTATTTCATTAAAAAGGTTATATTTTTCAAAGTCCCTGACTTTGTCTATGGAGGTACGCAGGGCTGTGGTGGGGACATCTATCAACCGAACGCGTCCCCGTACACACAGCACTGTACGCAGGGCTAGGCCCGGGGGCAGTTGATACCTGGGTGGGGAGGTGCCCCTGAGTGCTCAAAAGTGTGAACATTTTTATACCTCGATAGTGGCAAAGTCTATACCCATATTTATACCAAAGTACCATTTCTGTCATCACTGTTTATTCCAAATAAACCAGTTACCGTATTTGCTCTATTAGAAGAGCATCTCCAATAGAAGCACATGTAAGCCAACAGTTGCATTATATATTGATTTATTAAAATATGTATTTTGACCATAAAAACACCTCTGTCACTTACATAAGAGCATATTATTAACACAATGTTCAAGTTATTTAGATTGTTAAATGAGAAACAACAGTTCGCTTTCTCTTTGATCTCCTTAGGGGTCCGCTATCAGAAACTCAAGGTTGAACAAGTATACCGAATCGGAAAAATATTACCGATATTTATACCTATCTTGACCAGAAATAAGACCGATACTTATACCTAAAATCCACAAAAATGAGACCCATTTCAGGGGCACGTCCCCATTAGGCAAGTTCTATGTATCCCCGGGATCCTGGGAAATATTAAATAGTTGAATTATTCGCAATGAAAGTTGTACTTTTACGGTGTGCATTCGCTGTAGATCAATAAGCAAAATAGTTCCAATGTCGGGTTTCGGCATAATGTGTGTTTGTCGGTTTCGGGTCGACGAGTGTTAGTGTGTTAGAAGTAAATAATTAGATTTGCCGGGTTATTAGATTGTTTTTATCAGATGCCAACTCTCAACTACAATTATATTTAAGCATTTTTAATTAAAATTTGCAGTTTGTACTTTTCCCAGCCTGTATACAGTTGTCTTTATTGTGTAAGATTTGTGATATCCAGACTCATGGAACACATGTAAAAATGGGTCCAAATAAGGTAATATTTTTAATGACCTAATGTACGTATTTGCATACAAATTGTATATCATTAAGGTCATTCAGCAAATGTACACATACGTTGTGTAATACCCAACATTAGTTTGTACATATGACTATTTTCAAAACATAAATTCACTAATTCGTTTGTTTCTATTGCCATTGCAACACAATGTATGTAATGAATGACGTAACAAACATTGGTTGTAAATTAGAATCTTTATGATCTCCAGTAATTAAGAAAATTCAAGATATTATCAAAAGTCTGCATTGCATTAATCGATTTCTCTGAATTTGTGCATGCTTCTTATACAAATTCATTAATATAATGAGTCTAGGATATTGAATGTCATTTTTTAGAAATCACGATTTTAAGTGACGTAAATATAAATCTGAAAATGATATTTTGAATTAGTGATAAATGCAGGCAAATATTCTAAGATAAGTATTTTTTTTTTCAATAAACATTACTCGTATTCTTTTAAGTAAAACAATCCAAATGAAAATTTTTAGGAGAAACCAACAAAACATGGTATTATTTTAAAAAAAAGATATTTCTTTCCGGAATTTTAATCATAGAAACGCTGTAGAAAACACATAGCGGGATAGTCGTCACCTGCGCACGCGCGGGAATTGAGCCCCAAGCGACGATAACAACATACGCTAAGAACCCAAAGGCTCATGGGTACACGCTTGTTTGTAAACAATGACACGCTATAGCCGTCTGACGCATACGCAGGTGACGACTCCCCCGCTTTAATTAACTTGCGTTACAACCCGTTTGTATATCGGTTACTAATTCTGTTTTCAATTTTATGCTCGAAAACAAAGCACATCTGCTGAATTGTTTGGTAATGACTTAATGTGATCTCGTGTGAGGATTATTTTACAACTCATTTCGTTATTATTATTACTTCATATTATGGACACTGGTGGCGCTAACACTGTTTGCCATGCTATTGGATGTTACCGCTCTCTGCTTTTCTGGGGCCTTTTCTGCAGTAAGTTACAGCGCCACCTATGTTTTCAGTGCAAAGGTAACCATTTGTGTAAACAAGCGATCAAAGGATACAGAGGCAAACCTGCAAACCGCAATATAAATGAGTATTGATAGTATAGTTAAAAATTGGTATTACTATACATTTTTAGAATATTAAATGTGACTTTATTTAATAAGCAATAGTGTCGTAGTTTGAAAGTTTATAAACCTCCTGGAGACCTCCTTGAGCAGACCACTCAAGTACCCAAGGTTCAAAATTCACCTGTTTAAATAATAACAATTCCATACCCATTTTCGCATACGCTGTTGAGCTATAAAATATATAATTTCTTCAATTTGTACATTGAAATTCTTGAATTAAGTCCTCCAGACATGTTTCTTGGATGCCTTAAAAAGATACTCCAGGGGCTTTTGGATGATTGTATTGAGTCATGATCACTGGAAAACAAATATTTTATACGCCTAAATGCATTTATGAATTTCAAATTGGGGAACATGCTTGGCCAAAATATTTACTCCTAATTACATTTTTTTTAAATATTGCGGACACGACTGTTTCCAGAATACCACCCCCGGTCCAAGTATGATATTAAAAAAATAACACAAATATTTTACTTGAAAAAAAAAAATATTTATTTACATTTGGTGTTGGCACACCATGTATTGGCACCTCTCCCTGCACCCATAGTGAAGTTAAAAGAATAAAACTAAACATGGAAGAAAACAACATTTGGTATTTTGTCTCAATTATATACATAAGATTTAAAATAATCACAATATGTTCATTTAGCGCTCAGTCTCATCCAATCAACAAGCTAGAATAAGACAACTCAATATATCTCAGATTTAAGGTTGAGAAGTGACAGCCCAGGGTAGAAAAACGATGTACAAGTCTGTTTGTTGCTAGGTTCACAGCCAGAAAATGTTAAGAAAATCTATCAATGTTCATAAAAAGTCGTTTATTATACAGGTATTTGTGCAACTTTCATTGGTACATTAAGGTGGAGGATAACAAAGTCTCAAATTGGTTGCTGACAACAAAAAAATACAAAATATTTAGTAACATTTTTCAGCAGTGAGTTTGAGATGCATACTCTCATGAACCATATAAACCAATTATTAATATATAATATTATAAATAATTTAATAAAATTATTTTTGTGAACATCAAATGTCTTTTCAAAATTAGTCATAGTGCATATTGTACATTAAGCAAAACTGCAGATTTGTCGATAACAACATGTACAACTTGCATTTCTCACTATTAAAAGCACATGTGTTTTTAATATCGGTAGTTAAAAGTGTGATCATTGCATAATATACAGAATTCACAAATTCATGATTCTAACATGGTGTTTGATGTTTCAGTTTAAAAAAAAAACAGTTTACAGTTTAATGACCTTATTTTCTAAATCCATAATTGGGCATTTTAACAAATTTACAATAGTCAGTGACGCAATTTCCACTAAGTAAAGTAAATACTTACAAAAAACAAAAGCAGACTTTATAAGCAAAGATATTTGAAAAAACACAGGTATACACAAATATTAAAGATATAACACACTATATAACATATTTCTACTACATTATTCTTACACCTGTATATATTGCACACAAAGTACAGTCCCCCCCCCACCCGTTAGTGTAAAAAATAACGTGGAATGATTTGCCAGTATCATACCCCAAACCCTCAGTGAAAAAAACAAAAAAACTGTGAGTAGCCAGTAACACCAACTGAAAATATAAAATTGCTTTTTAAACTTTTCATCTTATAATTTTTTTTTTTACATGATTACATCATAATTGCATTAATGCAGAAGTGGATTTATAATCAACAATAATAACATGGATCTGGAGGAGAGTTATCATAGATTAGCAGTTGTCATGACGACACCCATTGTGACAATGTACCAATAAATCTAAAACTTCATCTCAAGATGACAACTTTTAATACATAATCATTCTTCGGCAGACCAGTTCTTCACACTATTTACAGATATTACTTTTAAAATACAAACTTTTGGTCTTATACAAAATATATATAAAAGCAATGTATTGAGAATTTATACATCTGTTTACAAAACACTAATAGTCATTTAAAGACAATTATGAGCAAGATATAAAAAGTATTTAAAAAATAGAAACCAATTTTAATTTTTTTTAATAATATTCAAAATTATGTACTCAGTTTAATAATTTCAATAAAGTACTATTTCTGTAAATAGAAGATCAAATTGGTGCTTTCACCTAGTGCTTTCATGAGTGGGAGGGGTGGAAGGATACATCATAAAAGGTGAGAGTAAATAACCCTCATGTCAAAAAGACGTGACAGAAAAACAAATAGATCAACTGGACTGCCAGTCATTCCAAGCAATTAAACTCTCTTGTATTACAATTCAATATAACAAAACACATACATATTTGTACTTCATTTTGAAAAAATTGTCATAACTGTAACATCTCGGAAATACTTAACACATCCTAGCTGAAAGCTTCCAGAGATAGCTGATGGTATACAAGAGTGTCAGTAGACGATGCATCAAAATGACTCAAAGTTAAACATAAAATTGTATGTTTGCGAGGGAATGATTATCATGAGAGCATTACATGGTATAGATGTGGTTTGGTGAAGCATGAATCTTTGGCAGAATGCAGACAACATGAAGAAAGGTGCAGAAAATATTTTTCAAATATTGTTTCTTCTTGACCAGTCTTGTAACTGTAACTGTACTCAGTATGGTTGTTGTGGCGTCTGTGGTTGTCATGGTAATGATGCAAACGTGTCCGATGGCTCAGAATGGTTGAGAGAAATGCAATGAGAAGACGGCTCATGTGGGGATGAATTTATAACATCAGTAGTAACAGTATGGACAGATTTACAAAACAATATGCCTAACCATATTTTAACATGTAAAATATATTTTAATCCCTGCAATAGTTTGTAAAATAAAACTCATAACTAACCCTAACCCTCAATCTTCGCATGCCAAAATGTTGGTAACATTATTCATATTTTAATACATTTTCCAACAACTCCTTTGTTAATTTTGAACAAAATGGGAATAATTTTCTATTGCCTGCAGGTTTTGATCAAAATTATTCCAAAAAAAAAAAACAGAAAAATTTGTTTATTTTGAAAAAAGTGAAAAACACTGACTGAAATGCACTTTTTTCTACAACCACATTTCTTTCTTAAACTTTCCTGTCTTGTCTTATGTATGTGATTGTCATTTGTTGCCAGAAGTAATTTCAGAGCATACAATAATGTTCTATATATTTAGTACTAAGTTTATTTTTTGAAAACTTGGAATTATTTAATACTACGTAAAAACAATCGGGTGCTGCCCACTGCTGTACATGCGCTTCTTCTGGCATTGCATTTCTTCGTCAACTATCTTGGGGTCAAAGGGCATGTTGCTCCATTCCTCAGAGTCGTACTGCGAGTCGTTGAAGTTGCTTTTCATTCTCCGCCTGCGTGTTAGAAAGTAGACAAATTGTTAGTGCATTGTATGTACAAAGTCTCTAGTTGGTGATGGTACATAGCTCTTTCATGTCAGCTTCAGTTATTTAAAGGTTTACTCTGTGACGCCGATACTTATTTGCTCTATTAGTGAATCTTTAATATTGTGTGCTGGATCATTGAAATGTGACCTATTTTTGCCATAGACACACCTGTGTCATTTATGTAAGCGTTGCACTACTAATAGAGCAAATACAGTGTAAAGTTAATTGCGTTAGTGATATATTTAATGTTGAGAATATGTACTATTGCAGGAAATATACACTACGTGTGTTTTAATTTGAAGGATTTTTAGCATGTCCGAATAATCGTGGTATTTTTTTATTTTATTTTATTTTCCGTAATTCATGTTCGTTCCAAACTACAGCAGTCTTCAGTAATTCAGAACCAGGGTGACTTTATTTACAAATTTCCGCCACAAGACTTGTTTTGCCCCCAAATAGCGTTCCATTTTTTTCTGGCATTTTGTCCACTCTTCCGAACACCAAGGTCACATAGGTCAAGATACCAGTAGAGAATAAAACACTATTTTTGCGAGACCAAAACAAGTCTTCTCGCAACAACAAGATCTTAGCAAAATAAGGTCATTCATATTCAGGTATCAATATTCCATATTGTGAACTATTCAGTGCATGTGTATTTCCCTTAAATTCTGTGAAACAATAGTGTCATCAGTATTTTCACTAAAAGAGACAGGGGATAATTTAGCCTGCAATTCATATCCTAAATGAAATGTTTATCCACCTACATGTACATTTCTTGAATTCGTTTGGTACACCATGAAATAACTAATAACTCCATTCTTCACAGCATCAGTTTATGACATTTCAGTCATAATATTACTTAGATAAACTATTTGTTCATAGGTGACATTAACCTTTTCACCAGCAATTCTCTGTTTTCATCACAAATTCACAAAATAGTCCCATTTATAGTTGGCACTTTCCTTCAGAAAATTGGGACGAAAATAGCCACATACTTGAGTAAAAACTGAAAATGGATTCAAATTTTGTCTATTGGCTTCAAAATTAAGGTTCATTTCCAGAAATATTGAAGAATATAAGAAAAAAGTGCAGACAAATTAGGGAGAGAATGTCTGGTGGTCAAAAGGTTAAACACAATTTTTCTTGAACTTTTGAAGCAATGAATCGGACCAAATTTGAAAATGTCAAAAGGTTCATTAATTTTTATCAAGATTGTCTGAAGAACTCAAACATGTAAATTTAGACTGCCTTTTTGCAAAGTGACAAAACTTGAGAATGTTGATGAATCGATTAATAAAAGAAACATCACTTGGTTCCATGTTACTAGGCAACAACCGCTGATGCTGACATGTTACAACTACAGAAGCAACATACAGGTTTCTTTTTAGGTATGGTCGCAAGCTCAAAAAGATATTATCTCCAAAAATATCTCAAGATAATCACTCAATCTCAGTAATCTTAAAATAATCCTTGACATTCTAATTGATTATCATCTAATTATCTCACCTGCTTTGTACTCTGCTGTCGCTATCAATATCGTGCAGCTTCATAGCTAGCCACGAACTGCATTCTGTGCCGTGCCGTCCCAGGGGAACTAACGGAAGTGGCGGTAGACGGTATTGTTCTATTTCTTTATCTGATAAAGATTTACCTGTACATAAATAACAAATACAAACATTCCATTTGTAAGCATTCCATTTGTAAGCATTCCATTTGTAAGCATTCCATTTGTAAGCATTTCATTTGTAAGCATTCCATTTGTAAGCATTCCATTTGTAAGCATTTCATTTGTAAGCATTCCATTTGTAAGCATTTCATGTGTAAGCATTTCATTTGTAAGCATTCCATTTGTAAGCACATGTGAAATTACAATATTAGCATTCAGGTTACTGATCTTGGCTAATGCCAATATTTGCTGCCTAAATGTGCAACACCAAAATCACGTCCTATGCAGTGAATTTAAAAGAGTATATACTGTCTGATATGACATGGCAGTGGAGAGAAGTGAAGCTAGCTTGTCTAGATAGATATGGTCAGATCACAATTTCTCTAGAGGAACTGTGGTTCTGTGGTGTTAACGTGGCTAATGACATTATGCATTATTACAGCCCTCATGGCATGGCCATACGCCCCCTTACCCTGGGGAGCAGAACCATAAAATTCTGAATGACCAGGGATCACATGTGGCCACAGTCTTCAACTGTGACCTGTCTGATAGTAATTTTGGCCTCAAGGAAGCCATAGAATACTCCATTTTAAGTTAGAATAATCAAAACCCTATCAGAACCCTATCTCCCCCACTTGGTGGCGCCGCTAAATTGCAGTGCTCCCTCTTGCAGTTTTTTTCTAGAAAAACCCCTGCACACATAGTATATGTGATGTGTGCACACCAATCATATACATATATTTGACCATACCTGTCATACACCTCACCACAGCTTTGTCTTCTTCATTTCGTACTTTCTCTTGTGCTATAAGTGGGTCTTCTAATTCCTCTGTTGTGGCTATTATGGGGGCTGGTCTGGGATTTTGTAATTCTAAGGGATTGTAATCATTCTTGGACATGGTATCTAAAAACACAGGCTGTAAGAAGGGAAACATTAAAGATGTTAACAACGACAAACACGACAACCACTAAACATGGTGGAATTCAGCTATGTATCCCCTCAAAACTGTGAGATTTCTGCCAAAAGTCAGTTGTATAAATCAGTTTCTTTTAATTTTTTACCACCAGTTTTCTCTTTTCATCACATATTTACAAAATAGTCACATTTATAGTCTGCACTTTTCTTTAGAAGATTTGGACAAAAATAGCCAAATTTTTTAAGTAAAAATAGAAAATTGACTCAAATTTTGTCTGTTTCCAGAAATTGCGAAATTTAAGAAAAAATTTGGCCGAGAAAGTGGTGAAAAGGTTAATATACAATTTTTGAAACTGATGGAATTTGGATGTAGGCAACGAATATCTGAACAACAACAAATTAAGACAAACAAATCTGATGACAGAATCTCTCAAATGTATAGCATTTTTTATTTCTTTATACTTTTCACTATAGAATTATAGATTACAGGTTGGCTATTACAATGATCATGTTTCCTGCACAAAAGCCACAATTTAATCCAGGTTCTCTAAGAACACACAAGTTTATTGACGCTTCATATTCTCTCCAGAAAAATAGAGTAGGGGGCTCTCCCTAATCTATAATGCTCTGGGAAAACCCTGATATATGTGATCACTTCAACAGTCTGACAAAGCATAAAAACTGCATGCAATAAAAAACAAATCAACTGTGATGACAATACGTGAAGGGGTGGTGATTAAAAGACAGAATAGCAACACAGTGTAGAGTGGATGTGGGTAAAGAATGCATGCAGTATGTGAAATGTCATGTACATTTAAAGCTGAATTGAAGCTGTTTTAATAAAAACAGTTTAGGTAAGATAGTGACATGTACAGAGATTGTTGTTCACCCCAATTCTGCTTTCCAGACCAACAATATTACGAAGGGACCTCCATTTGAAAATAAAGATGCACAGAATATATAGTGGTTTTCATTAGAACTCTGCACATACATTCTCTGCAGTGCAGGTACACACAAGTCACCCTCAAGGGGTGAATACAACATTTTATTTCACTCGTAAAGTAAAAATAAAAATAACCCAGAAAAAACAAGCAAAATTACACGATTCCCAAGATTTTAGATGGTTTATACAAACCCAATAATACCCTTCCATACCCGAAAAAAGTTGTAGTCTGTTCCATTTAGCTCCTGCATACAGGGATGTCTGTGTATATTTGGCGGGGGCATGTTGAATTTTGATTACATGCAACATTAAAGAAATAGCCCTTTTGTGACTGAATGGTATTACCTATATGGTCCAACAAGATTTTAGGATAGGGGGGATTATAGGATACAATTCAGAATAATAAGCAAACTACAAGAACAGAAAACTTATACACCACTACAAATAAAAACATCAGCACTACAGTGAAATTAAAAAACAAAACACCAAACACAAAAAAAAACTGGTGAATCAGGAATGAGATGGGGGTGGGGGGTGGGTGTGGTGGTAAAATGAGAAAATGCTACATGCAAGTGTGGACATCTAACGTTACACGTAGTCATCATAAATGCGTCAGAACTTACAAGAACGTGAGTAAAGTAGCTGAAAAGTTAAGAAGTGTGCAGTCGACTATGAGAGGTACATGTGGTATGCGGTCGGTTAGAAGTCGGCTATTTAGAAAAATACAAAGAAAGTTATACAGGAAAAATAAAAATATAAAAAAGAAAATTAAAAAGAAATATGTTATTGATTGTTAAATTAAATATAATAATATATAGGTAGTACAAATATGGACATCAGATATTGTAAGGGACAGTATCTGGAACATTTTTAAATTTGATTAATACAATGTTGTACAAAATAAATAAGTTAAAACCAACAAATAAAATTCTGCAAATAGAAATATATCTTCTACTTAATTTAAAATATGGAACAGAGTTCTAGCAATCACATTAAACAGAATTAGATTTCAAAAGGAAAGTTAAATTATGCAAATGTTACACAAATAAGTAGGTAAGCATGTGCGTTTGTAATAAGAAAAACACAGCAATACACATAATTGTCAAATATAACATGTAGCCACCGTTTAGTTATGTTGTATTTTTATTGTACTTTCGACTTTTTGTATTTACGCCCTCTAGTGGCTATAATATTTCACGCTCTGATATACGTTCTTTTTCTGGAATATTTAGACAGAAAAGTCAGTTCACCGTTTTTATCTACGTTAAGACGGATGGAAGCCGGAAACGTGTCATTGAGGAGAGTTACTCCTTAGACAGTTAGTAATAATAGTCTGATGTAGCAAAGTAGCAACTATTGTAATTCAGTTTAGAAGTATTTGGAGATTATATTTGTATAGTTGAGGTGAGATCGCCTTCGTGTGGCAATGCATTTCCTACTTCAAGATACTGGTGGTCAAGCTACGTGAGGGACGAGTAACAACGATTAATATCTAATTAGAAAGCTATACACGTACAAGGGTGCGCGTATACATGTATAACATGTAGCTGTGACATAATTATTATTGAGGGTTGTTGTATTGATATAAGATTGTTAACGAGAACACCTGCTATACATGTATGTACTATGATATGCAAGTAGCAAAGCAGCATATATGGAGTAGAATCAAACAATGTTTTCCCAGAGGTCATGTTACAGAACCATGTCATCTTTTACTCACTGCCTAAGCTTTTTTTTTTCTATAATACTTTGCCCCTTTCTCCCTCTCTAGTCCTAACACACATTCAACTGTATCATTACAGCTAGGCCTGAATTCAGTTAGAATATGGTTATAAATGTGAATTTTGAAAAAAGAATGAAGCATAGATCACTATTTTTAGTGTATTTAACTAAAAACAGTAAACTGTAAAAACATAATTGTGTTAATTTTCATTGTTCCTTATATATTGCATGTCACAACACATTAAACTTCAAACAAGAATTCAGCAATAATTTGATGTATGAGCGATAAAATAACACACAAAGTAACCCAGTAGAAGACATGTCTTGATGGATTTTTGACAAGACTCTGACTATTATACACAAAAACTTGATAACTCACCCGCCTATTGCAATAATCAACATAGTTATCATGTAAATTTCGTTTTCTGCTTTCTACCCCCGGATACTGCACTTTCATCTCTCGGTATATCTGTTTTTGTAACGGCTCATAAACTCTCTCACTCCATTTTTTATGAAGCATCTCCTTTTTACGTAAATCTAAGTAATCTTTGTTTGTAACAAACTCGTCAATATCCTGAAATATAAATAAACATCATTCAAAGATCAAAGGGTAATTAATTTGTATAATTAGTGTGGACTAAATAAAGGAAAACGTCAACAAATTTTGGGGGTGAGAAAAAAATGAAAATTTACTAAAATTTTGTTCATTGGCACTAAAATAAGGTCAATTTCCAAAAATATTGAGGAATAAAAGAAAAAAGTGCATACAAATTTAGGTCAAAGTCTGGTGGTGAAAAAGTTAAATATTTAGTATCGATAGTCAACATAATTTAAACATAACACCTGTACATGTAGTAGTAATAAATTATGTACTGCAAGATTTCTTGGGATACTGTACTTGTTATTCAAATAGGGCATGAATTCATTTACATAATTTTCACAGAAGTACAATTTTTGACAAACATGGTACATATACATGTACAAGAAGAAGATTGTATTTAACCAATTAAACAATCTGCATGTTTTTCTGCAGTTTTTTCATAAATATTTGATCAAAACATGCAGATGGGAAAATTATGCACCTTGGGTCCACCTTCGATTAACAAAGAAATAAAAATAAAAATATGTAAACATGTGCAAATTGTTGATAATTAATATTATAATTAATCAGTTGAGAAACACAACGGGTCATATCAACCGATTTTTTCATTATCTTTATTTTTAGTGACCAGGATTTCTACATGTAAATGCCATAAAACTGATTCTACCTAGCAGTTAGTCGCTACAAGAGGAATAGTGATACAATGTCCCAGTTGAAGTGGAAAATAACACACTTCACAATAGCCTTTTTAAAGTCACTGTTTCATTTTTTTTTTTGCTATAAAACAATACAAGTTGAACAAAACTGCTAACTGAGGGGCGCGTACGTGACTATCAATGAACCAAGAAATAAAAGCATACCTTGACAAAGCCATCTTCTTCATCGAGTAATGACATGTACAGCTTCTTGGTTTCAAGCCGTTCTGGATCAGCTTTTTCCTGACGAGACAGAAAAATCAATAAAGTTACACAGGGTAATGTTTTATAAAGAAAATATTTCATTCATCTGTAAACACTTCGGAACATAACAGAATCATCCTTGGCTCAACCTCAACTCCCTACTTGACTATCTCGATGCCCTTAAATTTTCAATACACACTTTCAATAAGACAAAGGCATTTTCAATATCTTTAGCCTCCAAAATGGGGGCCCTTAAAATTCAGAAGTTCAAGTCCCGAACCGGACACAACCAAATGACATTGTCACATAGTAACATAATCCTAACAGGTTTACGCTGACCTACCATGGTAATGATGAAATTTCATAAATCAACTATACAATCATAAACAGAAATGGCTATGAACTGTTGCAGCTATAGTTTAAGCTCCTCTCCACATAAGTGACCGGCGTTGAAATAACCTGCGGGCTGATCGCTATCAGTGTTTTATGTGACATTTCTATGGCGACAGCGTACTTAATAACTAACAAAGGCTGGGTGTATCAAACACGCATCAATCACGCTTCATGTACTTTATTATATCAAGTGACAACACAGAACACAGAACATAGCCAGCTTGTGAAATTATCGACAGGTATTATTTCCTACGATTCTTGAAACCAAAATATGCAAACAAAGGTAAAATGATAAGTTCTCCTCGTCCCTCTGATCTGTACCCCATCTGATAAAATTCTAGGTACCAGTGCTTTATGCAAATGTTACACAACACAAATTACGACATTTTCTCATGGCGTATTGATGAACATTCTTCCTATTGCTGCAGGCGTTTTCCTTCCATTAAATATTACACAATAGTTGAAATATCCGCTGATTTTTTTTACGATAACTGTGTCATATTGGTAATAAAAACATGTGACATTTTTTTAGGCATTTACATCTAAATCAAGCATGTGAGGGAAAAAAAACTGAAATAATTGTGAAATACACACATATATATTTACTTAGCATTTGTAATATGATACAGAGTATTCATCAGTTGCCTAGCAGCAAAGAATGTAAACAACGGATACTACACAAGTTATGTATGCTATCATTTCCATAATCAATACATCCTTGCAAGTTGCAATTTTTTCATCCCTTGGAAATTTGACATAATTTAAGAAATCTATTAACTTATTTCTGTGGAGGAAATTAAATAATAATTACCATTGTGTAATAATGCTTTTTCTCAGATTTTTTTTTTCTGAATGAACCTACTACACTGTGACTACATATTATTTTTATAAGCTGAACTGCAGAATAACAGGTAAAAATGTTTTTGGAGTGTTCCATGGAGTGGAAATGTTATTTATTTTGAAGTGCAACTTATTTCTTAAGAATAATGACATTACGGATTCTTTTTACACTGGAAAACCACTTCATTTAACCACAGAAAAACCATCATTAGCAGATGTTAGCATACATTATTTTCCCATCTAATTCTAATTATCTCTTGCATTTATACATCAATTATAAACCAACAAAACACAATGCTAAAAATATTCACGATTTGACGATTTTATGACATTCCTGAAAACAAAATTTTATAATTTTTATTGAAAGTTCAGTTTGTACCCAAGATACATTTTCCTGCCTTATGAAATATCAAGAATTTGTCTTTTTGCAAAATTTAAGTGGCTTACATTACGGTATATCTGAAAAATGTTAATAAGTCAGAGTATCAGCTAATTTGCATAACAAAACAATATGTTAATTACCCATTGTATTAATTTTTATGCTAAATTAGCATGATGCAATTCCTGAGATTGCGGAGCCGCGCTTTAACCTAAAATTGTTAAACCAAAATTATAAACTCCTACTCAATAATGCCTGGGGAGAACCCTGGAATTTTGCTTGAAATTACTTGGCATAACCATGGAGCTAGAAAGGGAAGGAGAGAGGACACTATTGTTTCTGTCTGTTCTATGATAGTTATAGTTTATTTGCTCATTAGATATTGACCACTTCATTATAACAAGATTAACAGGGTTTAATCTTTTGTTGGTTGACTTTATGAATATCCGTATACTGTAAAATGACTAATTTTCACTGGGTTTAAATTTCACTGATTTTCGATTTCAGACATATATTCACTGGGTTTTAATTTAGCGTGAAATAGGTAAAATTAAAACTCAGTGAATAATTAGCTCTTTACAGTAAGTTCAAGAACTTTATCAAGTACATCAAATTGTTATATGAATTAGGAATTTTTCTTTTTATGTTATACTTTAGAAACAAAGTAAAGTAGCTATCATCAAATATATAATTACTGTGAAATGAAATATTTAATTGTGAAAACTTCTCATCACATAAATGTTTCGGATAAGCAACAACTTGTGTTTAAAAAATAAACGATTTACAGTAAGTTGCTAGAATATTGTCATGAATTGTATATATCTGAAAAATAGTCCATCTACACCCACCAATCATAATTAAAACATACCTATTTTACCTCCATGTAAAAACGAAATCTTTTAGCCAAGCTTGACATCATCTCGACAAACAATGGAAACGTAAAAAAAGGTAACGCTATCGTGACTTCAAACTTGATTTTCACGAACGCACATCGGTGCACAATAAAAAGAAATATCTCACTATAACTGCCTGTTTTCAAGCAACCCGTACAAACTTTAAAATCTTTTAGAGGAAACGTCGGGAGAAAAATATTTAGCTTTGACTATTGAGTTCTTTTCCGCATACACGACAGGTACACGGCCATGACTTCGCTGAGAATGTATCCAGGACTGTGTTGTTTCTGGTGCCAAAGGTCACTGAATGACGTCTGACGTCACTTGGAAGAAAATACATACATGTATTGTTTATTTCTTCTGCATATTCGTTTTTATGGACAACAAATATTTTGCCATTCAGCAATATCTTGAATTGCAGCAATTAGCATAAGTAAATATGCGGTCTCAATCATGGTTTAAAAGGCTTATTTTAAAAGGATTAATTCTGCCTAAAACAAAGCTATGTCAACAGCTTAAAACAGGCTTAAATAGTGTCCTCTCTCCTTGGTACAACTATTGTACAGGTCAACATACTTGTACATAAATGTAAACTGGCAGATGTTGACAAATGTAAACTATTTTGATTACAAATTCAAGAGTATGATTTCTGACAACAGACACTGTGCAGTGAAAGCAGTGAAAGCACTACATTGACACATGAACCAAAAAGCACACACACAGCAATGACAAACACCTATTGTGTTTTACACACAAGCAAACCACAAATACAGACACATCCATCAAATCTAAATATTTGTTAGTACTTTCATTTGTGCATCATACACTCCAGAAAACATGTGATTCATTTCTATTCATATCGATGTCAATGTCTCTGACAATTTTATCAGCTAGCTGGTAAACAGAATTCACATTTAATTAGCATATAGGACCTTATAGGTTAAAAAAGTTAATTTTATAAATAACAAAAAGGTGAAATAGCTATTCACTTATCAGACTAATACTGTAAATGCATTAATTATTCACTGGGTTTTATTTTAACTATTTTCGCTGATAAGTGAAATCTGCTAAATTAAAATCTATGTAACATGTAAGATTACAATAGAACCCACTGTTTCCTTGAAAAAAATTTGAAATTAAAACACAATGAATATACTTAAAATAGTGAAATTAAAGGTCAGTGAAAATAAATGGTTGTACAGTACTGTACTTTATTTCTGCTTGAAATTTATTTTCGCTATAATGATGCTTCAGTGAAAATAAAATTCAGTGAATACACGTTTTTTCTTATATTTCACATTCTGCTTATCAAAAATCAGTGAAAATAAATTCCATACAAAAACACCCAATAAGGCTTCTCAGCGAAAATTAATTCCAGCTTAAAAAAAGTATTTCACAGTAGTTGATTGGCTGTTACAGGTAATTACAGTGAGAGAATATTATTAACCACTATCAACCATTTTATTAACCACTATCAACCCTATCATTAACCACCTGTAATAATTATTATAGCAAAGCTAGATCATAAATTCTTCAAAATTATGTACTGAGACTTTTACAGTTGCCATGTACATGCTTTTATTAAAAGGTTATAAAAGTCATTACTGCTTTTCAATAGGGTGGGTGTGGGTCTACTTGTTATTATTATTGCATCTGCCATTCCCCCTAAGAATAGATCATAGTGACAAGGCAAATTTGCATAACAACAGAATATGCTAATTATCTTTGTTGCATCTATTTTTAATTGTTCTCAATTGTAACAATGTATTGAGTAGTAGGCCCCACTTTATAACACTCCAGAGAAAACCCTGGTACCTTTGAGACAGGTGTGTTCCCATAACGACAAGACAACAATGTCTGCAAAGTTCGCAGTGCATCCCGTGGAGCTCTGTTAATAAAGAACTGAAAAGTATACGTACAATGTAGAATGACAGTCTAATTACATGGCTTTACAGTCAAACAGTAAACTTCCTTTCAATTATAGTTAATCAACCTGTCTTTGTGAGGGACCTTTTACTAGATGGAAAGCCAGCAACAAAGCAGTCTCGTCATGTGGAAAGACGTGCATATGACATTATGTGGCCTCGATGTAGCCATGAAAGAAAACATAGTACGTGAATGAGCAAGACAATTCACAGATTTGCTGCATTATGCCTCATTATCACGTAGTAATAACATCAAACACAAGTGAAATTCTAAAAGCCAGAAAGTTTCCTGTTTATATGTCACCATGGTAACAAACAGATTGATTTTATATTAAAACGTTGCTGCTTTAAATTGTATGTAAGCCAGCGATGCATTGAGAAGCAATTTACAGTTCAATTTGGAAACGCATGTGATGTTTATAGAACCACGTCACAGAAAAAGTATATATACCGGTAATACAATAATACTTTGTTATCACCGTAAAGAAATTACAATCTTTTTTGGGCTCTGAATAATAAAGTTAAATTAATAAACATGAACACAAAATTAATTATAGTATCAAAAAAACAAAGAAAGTTACTAAATGCTTCTTTTCAAGTTTGCATTAT